GCTTGTTTAAATATAACATAGCAATTGAATTTCAAACAAATACAGAGCAGTCTTCATGTGCCATGATTTGAAACATGTGCGCTCGGTAATTTATACATCGTCGGAAAAATATGACGCGGAGCTAATTCAAGTTGATGATGGCCAACAAGAAAAGGCAGCAGTCCACCAGATACACACGACCAGATTGTTGCTAAACGGTCGCGAATAAAAACCGCTGACTCAAGTTTATTTGTCTGTTTCCGTTGCGTTGCTCTATTGACGGTACTGATCTCGTATACAGTAAACCTAAGACAGCACATGGGAGTTTATTTTAAGTTTACTTTGAACATTTGCTATTAGTAATCAGTTAGTTTTGCATGAAATGATTGTGTGTTGCAAAGTGACCATGAGTTGCCAAGTGACCATGTGGTATGAAGTGACTTGGGATGAGGCTATTTGTGAAAAAAGTGGTCATGTGGTACAAAGTGATTCTGTGGTATGAAGTGACTTGGGTCAAAGCAATATGGGAAAAAAGTGGCCATGCGGTGCAAAGTGGTCATGTGGTGCAAAGTTACGGTACCATGTTGTATGAATTGACTTGGGACGAAGCTGTATGTGAAAAAAAGTGGTCATGTGGTGCAAAGTGATTCTGTGGTATGAAGTTACTTGGGACGAACAAATATGGGAAAATGGTGGCTATGTGGTACAAAAAGAAATACTATGTGGTACAAATAGACTATGTGGTACAAACAGACTATGTGGTACAAAAAGAAAGACGTATGTGGTACAAATAGACTATGTGGTACAAACAGACTATGTGGTACAAAAAGAAAGACTATGTGGTACAAATAGACTATGTGGTACAAACAGACTATGTGGTACAAAAAGAAAGACTATGTGGTACAAATAGACTATGTGGTACAAACAGACTATGTGGTACAAAGTAAATTAAATTGGGATAAAGTGGTTTTGAAACAAAGTGACTTTAATTGCTGTATATGAGACAAGAGAACACAATTCTTAGGTACAAGTCACTTGTACATTGTATTATCACTAGTCTTCAGAATTAACAGATAAGACAACAGGGAAATAAATATTTGCACAGGTAACACTCCTCCCAGCAAACCCCCCCCCCTGAGCTGAATAAACAATATAATGTTTCATAGCAATGAGATCAGTGGTATGGACATCTTAGATAGTGGATTTTCATGGCCCCAGATGTCACTGCCATATGTTAGTCTACAGTATTTTTATCAAATACAGACAGCAACTTTATTATTTTTAATTTTTTTGTATCCCATTTTTTCTTTTAATGCAAATAAAGCCTTTTGACCTTTTCGTTTCAAATTTGTTATTACTTCCTTAAATCAGTTATAACTGCGTACTAGAAGCTCTAATAGATCATAAAAAACATGTACAGAAATCATTCAATACAACAAATTCAGGTGTGTGCTGATACTTAGAAAAAGAGTCTGATAATAAAAAATATGGAACTTGTTTCTACCACAGTCCTTCAAGGGAGGGACTGTTTCTACACTGGAATCAGTGAATGCACAAGTACCCAATTAAAAAAAACAAAAACATTTTAAACTTTGAATCCCTAAACAAAAGGTCACCATAATCAGAACAGTACACAGTCTTTGTTTGTAAACAAGTCAGCCGAATAGTAAGTATCTGTATATTCAAATGTTTAATACCTGTGTACATTTTACAATTGAAACCTGGTCAACTAGATTAAGCAGCCAAATTAAAATACCGGTAGAAGTACTGCCCTATCCTAGGTACAAAAACTCTACCATCCATTCATATTTATTCTTACGTCCTGTCCTGTTATATGTACATTTTAGTTTTTCATGTTTCAATATTGTTTTTGATGAAACAAGTATAGAATTTATGTGGTGAATTAATTTATATTACGTAATATATTTCAAAAGTGCGCTTTGTAATCGAAAGGTCCGACAACCCCCTGGAAAAGATAAGTTTTCCTACCTTACAATCATTTCTTTTATACAACCTGAAATTACATGTCATCAACTTTGTCATTAAAGAAAAAATTGCAAATATTCTGACCAGTATAAAAATAGTGGCCATTATAATGGCAAGAATTGACTTTTTAAAGGGGTCAGAGGGATGAAAAAAACAGTGTTAAAGTGAAATGAAAAATTATTATAACCTTCTCACTAACCTAAAAGTATGAATAAATATTCAAAAGTTGTGAAAATTAAAACTTTCCAAAAGTAATCCAGACGCTGTTTGTAATATTTATTGAATCACATCCTTGTTTGGATCTAGATTTACAAACAAAAGTATTCTCTGTTGACTCTTAGTCAACATAATATTATACATCTTGCACCAAAAACAATAAATTTTGACATCTGTTAAAAGCTTGATCAACACTCGTCACACAACATATCAGCACTTATTTGAACATTCAAATTTTCCATTATATGAGTAAAGTACATCATCAAATTTGACACGTTTCAGGTTATTGATGTCACATGCAAACACTTTCATTTGTTTTCATTTGTTGCATCAAGCACTAAACGATCATGACGCAAATAAAATTCTTTCTATGGGACAGTCAAAGCAATCACGACACAGCTTTCATGCATATTTTGCAGGGATCTCTTTATAACATCATATTTTTACATCGTTACTATCATATGTATGCTAATTTCAGAGATACACATTCGCGGTGATTGGCTTATTTTGAATTGCATGCCAAAAACATGTATCATGATCTGTTTTGATGTAAACATATTATCTAACTATTCCTATTCCCAGATGATGATGAGTGTACCGATAATTCACACAACTGTGCTGTGAATGCTACCTGTAAAAATACCCATGGATCTTATGGTTGCCAGTGCTTCCAGGGATTTACTGGTGATGGGAAAGATTGTACGGATATAGATGAATGCGCACAAAACTTAGATGAGTGTGCTGAAGAGGCTGATTGTTTAAACACTATAGGGTCATTTGACTGTCAATGTTTTGAAGGATATGAAGGAAATGGCACTGTGTGTATTGGTATGTATAACCAATATTTATTGACTTCCAAATGATGAAACTCTAAGGAAAACAAACCCTGTACAATGTACATGTATAGTCATCATGTGTACATCATGATCGACATCTTTCTTGTCGGAATGCAACAGTTAAATAGGGTTTGAAGTACTGTAGCCATAACAGCGCTGCATTTGACATTCGGCAACAGAAGATTTCATTATCGCAAAAGCAATTACAGCTTCTTCTCTGATAAAAATTAGCTCACCGTTTTACAGAATGATCACCATATCCAGTTTTATTCTATAGGAACTAAATTCGGAATTGATACTTCCAAAAAAATAAAATTCACCATTAATGAAATTATGATATTTATTTTATACCTCTATTTACAGATGTTGATGAATGCTTACAAGGTGCAAACAACACATGTGTTCATGTTCATGCTACATGTGACAATCGTCCTGGGACATATACTTGTGGTTGTAAAACTGGGTACGAGGGTAATGGAATGACACACTGTGAAGACATTGATGAATGTGTTGAAGGTCTATACACATGTCATGCAGATGCAATATGTGTAAATACAGAAGGATCCTATGAATGTCATTGTAATGATGGTTTTTATAAAAATGGAACACAATGTGAAGGTAAACAAAAACAATGTCATGAGATTCATAAACAAACAAATCTTGGTTATAGTAGTGGAACAAAAACTGATTCATGCTAAAGCAGCACATCTAGAATCTGTATTATCACTATAGTCTTCCTTTTTGACTCCTGTGTGTGAAGCACACAATGAGAGTCTTTGCGGTTAGTGTGTCTGTCTATGTATGGAAGA